TGCTGTCTACTGGGGAAGGCTCCCAGAAAAGACTATCAGACACAGAGCCCTCCTGGCTGTGTGACCTCGGGCAGGTTGCTTACCCTCTCTGGGCGCACTTCCTATCCCATAGCTGTGGGAAATCCAGTATCTGGCACACAGGGAGGGCCATGTAAATGCCTACGTGCTAGCCCCGGCCCTTCCTCAGCAACTTTCCCCAATTGTTTTTTCTGTCTGTCCTTCTTGAGCCCATCCACGCCGCGCACTTGCTGGAGAAAGAGCAGAGAGGCCAGCCAGAATGTCTCGCCCCAACAGCCCCACACTCCCCAGTCTCATCCAGGTGGGAATGAGCAGACTTCCTATGTGCGAGGTGAGGGGACTGAGGCACCCGGGGTTAGGGCCAGGTGGCTGCTTTAGGGGCCGCAGGGTGTCATTTGAATTCAGACGGTGCCGGGTTCAAATCCTGACTGCATCGCTGGCATGGACGTCAGGCCAAGGGTTCCACCGTTCGGAGCCTCAGTTTATCCAACTGCAGAAGGGGCTGGAGAAGACTCACCCCCTCGAGGCTGTGCAGAGGAGAGGGGGAATCCACCCGCACCTGGTGGTTTCAGCTTTGTCCGTACTTGGAGAACCACACCAGGCCCCCAGGGACCCACCAGCCCTTGGCCTCAGCCAAGCTCTGGAGCTGTGAGGCCACCAGCTGGGCTAAGGCACCGCCTGTGAAGAGAAAGAGGAAATATGATTTGATGGGGCCAGAACAGCGAGGGGTGTGCGGGGAGAGGAAAGAAGTTTCTGCCTGGGAATGCTGGGGGGTGGGGGTGGGGGAGCTGTGCCAAGGATACTGGCTCTCTCCTGGCCTCCATAGTTGTCATCCGTAAAATGGGAGCAGCAGTGCCAACCTAACCAAGATTACTGAAGGAATCACAAGGAGGAAGATGTTACCGTAACGTGAGGGTGGACGTTGGGTGAACGTCGGAGTGCTTGGCAGGGGATGTTAAGTTGGTCGGGGGCGGGGGGGGGGGGAAGCGTGGGGACCTCTGGGGACTAGTTACTGAGCAGCTACCCTGCCCCTACCCTGCCCAGCCCTCCAGAGCACTAGCAGCACAGCACGAATCTTCCCAACACTGCGAGGTAGGAGTGGTTACTGTCTCCATTTTATAAAGGAAAAAGTGAGGCTCAGAGAAGCAGGGTCCTCTGCCTGAGGTCACACAGCTAAGACACAGGGGAGAGCCACACCCAGATCCCCCAGGGACCACATCTTTTTATTTTTTAAATTTTATTTATTTATTTTTAAGGTTTTTTAAAAATTTATTTTACTAGAGAGAGAGAGAGCACAGAGGCAGAGGGAGAAGCAGACTCCCGCTGAGCAGGGAGCCAGATGTGGGGCTCCATCCTAGGACCCTGAGATCATGACATATGGACACTTGGCTGCACCATGGATGAGCCTGGAAAAAGGGATGCTAATGAAAAGAGTCGGACAGACGTCGAAGGCCATGTGTTGTGTGATCGCATCTGTTGTGTGTTGTGTGATCACATTTGTACAAGATATCCGGGAGGTGCAAATCCGTAGAGACAGAAAGTAGATGAATGGTTGCCAGGGGCTGGGGAGAGGCGGGCCTTGGAGGGTGTTACCTAAAGCATCGGGGGTTTCTTTTTGGGGTGATGACAATGTTCTCATCCACGGTGCAGCCAAGTGTCGATACGTCACTCCTATTGTTGGATAATATTCCATTGTATAGATATACCACATTTTATTCATCCATTTGCCATCTGCGTCGTTTCTATTTTGGGCTCTTACGAATAATGCTGCTATGAACATTTGTGTTCAAGTCTTTGGTGCGGCCGTATGTTTTCATTTCTCTTGGCTTTATCCCTGGGACTGCAATCGCTGGCTTATATGGTAACTCTAGACATAATATTTTGAGGCTCTGCCAGACTGTTGTCCAAGGCGGCTGCACCATTTTACATCCCGCTGTAAAATTACTCCCGTTCCTCCCCATCCTTGCTGACACTTACTACTGTCTGCCTTTTTGAGACCATGTCCACCCTGAGGACAGTCCGTCGGGCTGGGGTTCAAATCCTACCGACTGTGGGATCTCAGGCCAGTGGCCTCTCTGTGTCCTTTTCCAGAAAATGGTATAAGAATCTTTCCCTTCCAGGCTGTGAGGAGATGAACCGGGTTGGCCGCCTCATCAGAGTTATGCCAACTGTCAAGTGAAGTGCACAGCCCTTGTTTTTGTAACGGGGCCACCCCCCCGCCCGGGGGCTGGGGGCAGGTGTACCAGGTGTAATAAAGCCCCTCAGGGGCTGACCCCTCTGGCCCACCGATCTCTCTCTCCCCAGCGCCTGGCACTGAGCCTGCCATGCAGTAAGTGCTTGCTAAGTGCGGACCTCGGTGCAGCCCAGGACCTCCCTTCACGGTGGTGGCTGAGCCCCAGTGGGGCGCTCCAGAAGCTTCGTGGGCCAAAGGGCTGGGCCGGGCGGTAGCCTCCACAGGATTCTGCCTGTGCTAAAGGCCTTACTATTTCGTTCCTTCCTTAAGAGGAGCGGCTCCTTCTGTCCGTTAGGAGTCTCTTGTCCTGGGACGCTTGGGTGGCTCAGCTCGTTAAGCGTCTGCCTTCGGCTCAGGTCATGATCCCAGGGTCCTGGGATTGAGCCCCAGGCAGGCTCTCTGCTCGGCGGGGAGCCTGCTTCTCCTTCTCCCTACTGCTCCCCCTGCTTGTACTCTCTCTCTGTCAAATAAGTAAATAAAAATCTTAAAAAAAAAAAGAGTCTCTCGTTCTTCCAGGACAGAGGCCAAAGAGCTTCACCAGTGACAAGAACGGTAAAATAATGACAGTCCCATTCCTAGCAGCGGCCCTTGTTCACATTCAGAAAATCCCCCTGAGCACCTCACTTGCTCTTCCTACTCACCCCTTCCCTGCAAGGCAGACCTTCACGCTCTCAATCAACCAGTAGTTCTGCCCACCCCCACCCCCGTGGCTTTTTTACTGTGGTAAAATGCCCATAACAGAATTCACCACGTGAAACCATCTTGAAGTGCACGGCCCGTGGCATGACATCGCCACCGTCCACCCCCAGAACGGTGTTCAGCTCACAAAATGGAAACTCTGTCCCCAGCACACACTCACTCGCCAAACAGAAGCTCTGTCCCCAGCACACACTCACTCCCCATCCCCACCCCTCCCTCCAGCTCCACCAGTACTTTTAAAGAACCTACTGACGGTGCCTGGAGCCGGTCCTGCAGCTGTGAGCAAGGCTGACGTGGTCCCTTGCCTCTGGGAAACCAGTACTACTATCCAGATGAGGGGACAGGCACTGGGGGCCGGGGGGGGGGGGGGGCGGTTTGCTCACAGCTTCCCATTGAATCAGCCAGTGGCCAAGGTCCAGTCTCCTGGCCCAAGACGAGTCACTTCCTTGCGTGGGGCCTCAGTTGCCCAGTCTGTGAAGTGAGGGTCAGGAGGGAGCTGGGCTAGTGACGCTGGGGCTGGGGCTCACCCCTCTTCCCCCTGACCTCGGAGGAGAGCGGGTACCAATCCTGGCCCCATCTCCTGCAGCCCTCTCCATCAGCCTCCTTGTAGCCGGGATCATCTTTGTCCTTTTCTTTTCATGGCGGGGGTGTGGGGGGGTGGGGGTTGTGGCTCTCAGCAGGAATGGGCCCTAGATGAGTTCTGCCTGCTGCCCTGTCCCCTTCCCGGCTGAGTCCAGCCCCAGCAGAGAGAGGCTTTGTGTCAGGAAGGCATGCGGGGACCCTCCTCTGTTTACATTCCTCACCCCAGCCAGATAGCAGCTTGTTTGCTCTAAGATCCTGGAGACCCAGAGGGAAAAGCTTCTCCTCGCCACCCGGCTGTGGAGGGAGCAGCTTTCGGAGAGGCTGAACTCCTCTGCAAGACTCAGATTCCCATCTGTAAAGTGGGCACAGCAATCCCCGCCTCACAGGGATTCTCCCCCTGTGCTCACCGAGTTAACGATTAAGATTTTTTGTTGTTTTTTTTTTTAAATGCTCTGCACTGGCAGCTTGAACGCATCGCTTCTGTTCAGATTCTCTTTCTCCAGCAATTTCAAAATTCCACTTCCTAGCTGCTGAACCAACACCTCAGGGGAGCTATTTCTATTTGCAGGCTGAGGGGGGGAAGGACCTACCCCACTGTCTTTGGGGAGTCAGCTCAATTTAATAAAAAAAAAAACCCCAAGAATGATAAAAGGGCTAAAAACGTTCCTGGCGCCCTGCACAGAGCTGGTGCTCCCAGCATCCCCGCTGGGACTGTGGGCTGGGGACATTGCTACTCCCCACTCTGCAGCAGGGACACTGAGCCTCAGAGGTGGAGAGGCTGGCTGCTCGGGGGATGAGTCCCCAGCCACAGCTTGGGCTCAGGGAGCCTGGCTCTAGAGCTCAGGCCCACTAGGCTTCCAACCAGTCCCAGCAGAAGTGAGCTGCCCGTCGTGTGGAGGCATTCAAGTGGCTGGAGTAAAAGGTGAGACTGCAAGTAGGGTCTCACCTTCGCCACCCAATAAAAAAACACACCGGATCACCTAGTAGGTCCTGGGCTGCGTGCTAAGCTCTGGGGAAGAGGTGAAGAAAGGGAGCTCACGTTTATTTAGCCCCAGACAGCAGGCTCTGGATCTACTCCGGTGTCATTCCTGTGCCTCCCCTGCGGGACTCGGAGCCACCTGAGGGCAGGCCCCCCCCCCCCCCCCCCCCCCCCCCCCCCCCCCCCCGGCGGCCGCGTCCCGGTGAACTGTCTGCTGAATGAATGAATGAGCCAGTGCGTCGGGGGACGGCCAGTCGCCCGTTACCAGAGGAGCGGCAGCCCCAGGGTGGCGGGATCAGGAGCTCGGGAGGGATCTCACCCCGGGAAGCGCCTGGCCCTCCGGCCCCGATCGCGACGCCCCGCTGCCCGGGAGGGGGGCCGAGCCCGCCCCTGCAGAGGCGGCGGGCGGCGGGGCGGGGGCCGCCGGGGGCGGCGCGCGGCGCTGGAACCTGAGCCGGGGGAGGAGAGTCGCGCCTGGCGGGCGGGCGCCGGGCGGCAGGGATTCAGGAAGCGCCGCGCCGTCCAGGAGGTGAGTGGGCCCTGGGCCCTCGGGGCAGGGATCCCGGGAGGGCCGGCCCAGCCGGGGTCCCCTCGCGCCCCTGGGGACGTCTCGGAGGCTCCGGAAGTCCCGGCCCGGGGCGCGGGAGGGAGACGCGGGGTCCCGCCAGCTCCCGCCACTCCGCTGGGTACCCTTGGGCTGGCCACCCCCCACTCTGGGCTTCAGTTTTATCACCTGTGAAATGGGCGCCGTCGTGGGCCTTGGGGGTCGTGGGTCTGCCGCACGGAGGTCCCGGGGTCCCCGAGATCCAAGCCCAGGAACCAAAAGCTAGGAGCCCCTGCAGCCCACCTTGGGGGTATCCCCATTTTGGGGGGCTGCGATGGGAGGGGGTCCTGAGGTTTGCCTTCCACCACGCAGGAAGCAAGCAGGAGGGAATTCTTAAGTCTGGAACTTCCAAAGGCCACTTCTTAGTTAGCCTTCTTTAGGCCCAGAGATGGCTCTTCCTCCAAGAGGCAGGACAATCTTTAACCTCCAGCTCTGTCTCCAGAGAGAGACCTCCCACACTCCCCACTTGCCTGGAGATACCAACCACAGACATGCCCTCGGAGCTACCTACCACCCCCGCCTGGCCCAGCCCCAGCCTGGCCCTCCCTGTGACCTCCCCATTTTGCAGATGAGAAAGCTGCTCAGGCCGGGGATGTAACCAAGTGAAATTTAAACCCAGGGCTACCAGGCTCCAGAATCCTCCCTGCCTGGTGCCCAGGGGGTGCCCAGGAAGTTACAGGGGCGGGGGTGTGCCTATGGGTGCTCTGGCTCAGCCTCCAAACTGGGCCTCTGCTGGGGCTGGGGACGTGCGATGTCCTGTGTGAGCTTGTCCTGGGGACGCTAAGAACCACTGGAGGATTTTAGCTTTGCCACTTTATCTGGGGGGCAAGGACAGGGGGTGACTCCATGACCACCAGTGAGGAAAGTGAAGAGGTGGTCCCTTTAGAGAGGTCAAGTAGAAGGGTCAGGTCCGGGTCATCTGCAGGGTTAGAAGTGGGGCCTGTGTGGCCCCCGTTCTGCCTGTCCCCACTGCTGAGTGACTTTGGGTTAGTCCCTGAAATGGGGGTGGACTGAGGGCCCCCCCAGGGCTGTGGTGAGGACAGATGGCCTAGCTCCGTTAGCACCAGCCTGTGTTGGTGGTTGTGCCCCAAGGGCCTTCTTAATGGAAGAGGTGAAAAAAGGTCATTGGTCATTCCCTCATTTCGCTAGTTCATTCTGTTTGACTAACAGCGGGGACCCTTCTTTCCCACCTTTGTTGGTAAATCGGAGGGGGAGGGGCTCCCAAAATGAATGGCCGATGGCGCTCCCTGGGCCAGTCAGGGTCAGGTGTGTAAGACGGAGGTGGGGTCCTTTGGCATGGAGTGTTCCCAGATGTAGGGAATGGGCGCCTGATGGCAAGGGGGTGATGGTGAGAGCTTCTGAGAAGGTGCCTGGGGTCCCCGGGAGCAATCCAGAGCCTTACTACTGGGGAGGCATCACGGGCGCCCCTGCTGCCTTACCTGGTGGGAGCGGGGCCTCAGCCACTTCCTCCTGCGTCCAGCAAGTCCTCCCCGAGAGCCCCCTGTGCCAGCCTCGGACCCCAGCCAGGCTCTAGCCTGAGGGCTCTGCCCCCGACAGCCGCCTCCCCGACCCTGGGATTGCGGGCTGTGGCCTCCAGGCAGGCAGCACCCACACCTGACCTGTGGGCCCCCGGCAAGGTGAGCAGGTATGGTAGATGCTTGGCATATGTATGCTGTCGAATGGATGGGAGCCAGGAGAGAATGCTGTGGGGTGGGACAGTAGTCCAGGAAGGGATCAGGGAGGGCTTGATCAAGGTTGTGGGTGGGGGGGAGCTTGAGCCACACGTTGAAGAGTTAAAGGCGGACGTAGGGGAAAGGGCATTCAGGTAAAGGGAAGGGCATTAGCAAAGACCTGACAATTACCTGTTGCCAGGTAGGTAAAACTAGTCTTTGTGGAGCCAAGACATGCTTCCGTTGGTCTGGAATGTGTGGCGTGGACAGGAAGGGCAAGGGATCAGGCAGGCAGGGGCTAGGTCAGACCCAGAAGCCCTCAAGTCCAGTCTGGGAGGGACATGCCGGATGTGTGGTCTGGAAGGGTCCTTCTGGCTGCAGAGTGGGGGCCAGGCAGGGAGGCCGGTCCCCAGGCTGGGGAAGTCATCCAGGCAGGAGATGTGAGGCCCGGGATGGGGACTGGAGCGGGGCAGCTAACAGGAGAGGTGGGAGGGAGAGGCCCGCTTGAGAATTGGCCTCACGGCGCCTGGCACAGGGCAGGTGCGCCGTAAATCTCTGCTGCACAGTGGAGTGACTGAACACGTCGTTTTGAGAGGGCCCGAGTCCTTTGAGCTCCTTCATCTGTCCCTTGGTGGGAGGGGGAGTTTGCATGAGTGGGCATCTCAACCGCTCACAGGCCCCTGACTTGCTGTCTGCCTCAGTTTCCCCCATTTGACTCTGGGAAAGACACTCCAGGCCCCTCCCCAAATCCCTGGCTTCACTTCTTGTCACACACCAGATCTGGGGAGCCAAAGGAACATTGCACGCCAGTGGGCCCTCTGGAATGCTCCACATCACCCATTTGGAGCAGAATTCACCTGTTAAAGATTAATTCAAATCTCTCGAGATACTTATGGCCCTGGGCCCCGCAACTGCTGCTCTGAGCACTGGGTGCAAGGTTCTGCCTGGCTTTAGCCAAGCCTGGGCTGCATTCGGAGTCCTTATGATGGTAGTGAGCATTTATCGAGTACTTCCCATGCGCCCGGCCCTGAGCCAAACACTCTTAGTACATTTGGATACAAAACTGTTATCGTCCCCATTTTTGAGAGGGAGGAACAGGGGTCTGGGTAGTGAAGTCTCTTGCCCCAGGGACTTTTAGTTGGGGAGAGGCAGAGCTGGGCTCTGAATTCCATTTGCCTGATTCCAAAATCCATGCCATTCACTTCCAAGGTGGCCTGTCCCCATTTGTCCTGACCCGGAGTCACGGGGAAGAGACTGCAGTGTAGAGAGAGAAGAACCTGGGTTGCTCAGGCCGGCCCCACCTTAAATCCTAGGTCCGCTGCTTCCTCCCTAGGGAAGCTCCGGCGAGTCACCTGGCCTCTCTGAGCCTCAGTTTCCTGGTCTGTCAAGTGGCGCTCCCAGTCCCTGCTTTGCCAAGACAGTCCGAGGCACAGGTCCTCTTGCTCATCCTGTTCCCCTGGCGTGTTCCTGGACGTGCTTTCCTCCAGCTCATCCCTGTGGCGGCCCCTGAGAGCCCCTCTGTGCCAGGCAGGCGGGCGGAAGGTAGCAGGGACAAGGCTAGACTTGCATTTGGAAAAAGGATGATGCCTTTTCAGCCGTGAGATATTTACGGAAAATTGACCAAATGCCAGGAACCGTCAACGTTTCACACTTTGCTGATTGTTTAGTGGATAGCCAGTGTCTGTCACCTGATGCTCACCTCGATGATGTCATGGCCTCGCCCCCACTGGAGGTGGGCAGAGGCGGGAAGGCTGGATCTCATTTTACAGCTGGGGAAACCGAGTCTCCGAGGGAGAAATAACTGACTCAGGGCTCCTGGCAGAGTTGGATCTGGAAGCCAGATCTGAGTGACTCTGGTCCCCTTGGGTGGGTCCCTGAAGAGCTTCCACCTTGGACTTGCCCCTCTTGGAGTCTGACCCAGCTTGGTCCACAGTCCAGCTCACTGCCTGCTGCCATGTGACCTCAGGAGGTAGCTTAACCTCTCTGTTTCTGGGCCTGCCACGTGGGCTTTGCAGGAGGTCAGAGCTCTGTCTGCTGGAGGGGGATTTGGGGGATTCTGGCCACTATTCTTGCCCCAGCCTGGACTCCCCCTGCCTAGGTTTCCCTTGGGTCCCATGAACAGGCACCCTGGCTGAACAGGAATGAGGAAGAGAGGCCAGCGCCCTACTTTCACTATGACTCCGACTTCCTTCCTGCGGCTGAGCCCCTTGCTGATCATTGGCTTCCCCTTTCTGTCCCGAGCCCTGGGGCCACCGCTGGCTGTGTGACCCCCAAGTAGGTCACCGCACCTCTCTGACAGGTTTCTTCACTGGCAAGGGAGGGCCATAGGAAGCCCTCCATAAATGCTCCTGGGTCTGCTCCAGATGAGATCAGAGGATGGGAAAGGCCGCAGAAGGGGGAGGGCGTACGGGGGACAGACAGGCAAGCCATTGACCAAATGGGAATACTCTTATTTTTCTTGGGGTGGTGAGTAACGGCTGCCTGCCCTGCCTGCCGCCCGCCCTGCCTCCCCCCTGCACAAAGGGCTCCTCAGTCTCCCGGGCGCCTGTTTTTCCCTGAGGGTGGAGTGGCCTGGGTTACACCCACTGGCCGGGAGGGCTGACCACCTTCTGGGACAGCTCCTCATGTTTGTGTATGGAGGGGGGTAGGCCGGACTTCCACCACATGCCCCGAGTGGGCCCCACAGGCTCAGGGGAGACCCCAGTGGGCAACGGGCCAGTTGACCTCAGGCGGGGGACCCATCGGACCCTTCTGTCTCCCATTGCAAAAGGGCTTGGGAATACCGGTAGATAGAGTGAAGGAAGGAAGGAAGGAAGGAAGGAAGGAAGGAAGGAAGGAAGGAAAGAAGGAAGGAAGGAAGGAAAGGAGGAAGGAAGGAAGGAGGGAAGGAAGGAAGGAAGGAAGGAAGGAAGGAAGGAAGGAAGGAAGGAAGGATTGAACAGACAGATCAACAAGGCAGGGGCATCAGAGGAAAGCACCTACTCAAATCCAGACTCCGGCTCGGAGACCAAGCGGGCCTGGGCAAGTGCCCTGGTCTCCTTGAGCCTCAATTTCCTCTTCTTTTTTTTTTTTTTAATTTTTTTTTAAAGATTTTATTTATTTATTTGACAGAGAGAGAGAGATAGCGAGAGAGGGAACACAAGCAGGGGGAGTGGGAGAGGGAGAAGCAGGCTTCCCGCCGAGCAGGGAGCCCGATGCGGGGCTCGATCCCAGGACCCTGGGGATCATGACCTGAGCCAGAGGCAGACGTTTAAC